ACAGAAAGACAACTATAGAGCTGATACGGCCAAGAAAGCCACTGAAAGCACATAAAAAAGAACAAATGTTTGAAAATTAACATTTGTTAATTTTGAAATTTTCTAGATGGGGATTCCATAGTTTAAAGATTGTAATTCTAAAGATAATTTTAATCTAACATGATTAAAGAGTAATGAGTTTAGCAAAATCACTTATTTGATATACACTTAGATCTATTACGCACGAAACATGAACACTCAAAGTTGAATTTTTTAATTTGCAAATTTTACCAATTCTCGGATTCATTTCTGCATGGCTATGCTCAGTGCAAATAAATCTTCATTTAACTAGGGCAACAATGTTTTTATTGTGCTAACATCACACATCTTAAGAATAAATATATTTCTACTGGCTATAGGAATTATGACTGCAAATGCTACTATTTTATGGCATTGAGATACTTATTTATATATGTAACTACATGCATTTCTTTAGCTTTTACATAAATTTTCCTTCATTGACAGGTTATTGGTATAAGCATTTGATCTTTTCAATAGTTTACTAAAAAAATACCAAATTCCAAAATTCAGAAATGGCAGTCAGGTTTTACAAGGAAACACACTAATAACAACCTGATGATATATTATCATATTGCATAATATTTTGTAATTTCTAACACACTTTCCAATAAGTTATTTCGCATCCTGAAATCTCATGTTTTCATTTTCGAAATGAGAGCTGTGGAAAGATTCTCATATTACTAACAGTTGTGAAGGCACCCGATGGAGCTCCTTCATTAATTTCTCTAACCATTCAGGGCACTGAAGTCTGTGGGGACAGTAAGTTCACATTTAGTGTTTGTGCTAAATGAATCCCCAACCTACTTTGTTTTAATTTGCATCAAAAAACCTCTACCCTGAAAGTACTGCATTATTAAGGTTATATAATAATGAAGTATACAAATTAGGAAAGGCAGATTTAGCATCACTTGCTTGGCAACATTAACTTGCCCACCACATTCACATTGAGATTTTAGAAGAGTACATTAGCGAGAAATACTTCTCTGTGAATTACAATAGAAGTCTATTAAAGAATATTTGATTCATTGACTATTATTTATAATAATAAACACATTCAGAGGATACTTTTTTGCATTTTATTTATGGTTGTTTTTGTTATTAGGAGGTGTAAAAATGAGGAGGAAAAATAATAATCATAAAAACCCTCAATCTCAAATGATTTAACAGCTTAGTTCTGTATTTGTTTGCCAGTGCACACAAACAACTATAGTACACACTAGCAAATATATCTTCCATATCTATACAGAATACTTTTTCTGATATAGAACCACATGAAGAAAGTCTTCTATATTATTTTAGTGAGACTGTTAAGATAGTTAACATTAAGAATCACCTTTAAAATTTCAGTAAGGCGTTTCCAAAATTAAACAATTAACTTCCTGTTACTCTTCTGATACAGAAAAAACTTTGAATTAGTGTTATTAAGCTACCAAAAATTGATACCAGTCAGGAAAGATTGTTTTCCCCTTGAATGGTAATATTTAACTGAAAGTTTAGTGAAAGAAAACAGAGCAATTCTGACAGGAATCTGGATAGAAAGGGGTTTCTCAGCTCTAGGTACTAATTCTGATGCAGTACTGCATTCAAATGCATTTCCCTGGACTCCACAGTCCTCAGGTCTAGTTTTAGTTATTTTTTAGTAAAGGAAAGCCTTCATTCATGTGTAATATTTATAGATAGCATCATTGTAAAATGGAGTACAAGTTCAAATCAGAGTTCAAGGTCAGGAAAAATAAGTATCACTTAAATGAATCACCACTGACACTTTTAGAAGCTTTTAACTTCCTTTAGAAATCTCCCTTTCAAGCATGTGCCAATTTTAATTTTGGCAAATCATGAATAAAAACTAAATGTATAATAGTTTTGATGATTACTCAGTGTGGTGCTATTTTTTAAACATTACTAACTTTACAGCAACACTCTCATTACATTTAACTAACACACATTTTGACAGTGTTTTATTTTCAGTAAATGACTTAATACAGTCCATTTTAAGAATTTTATGCTTTAGTTTACAGATATTTTATTATGCTGATGTATGAAATTTTAAAAATTGAGAAAAAAACCACGACAGCAATTAGTAAGCGTTTCCAATTTATGTTAAATATTAGTTTATCTTACCTAAGCATATGCATGGTAACTTTGTTCACATAGTGGTAGAAATATAATACTGTAAACTCCAGAAGTTGTCTTTTTGTAAAATAAAAAATTGCATCCAGATCTTACTTCAATTATAAATAACACAAAGTTGATGTTATTTTATTTATCTTTATATATTTATTTTGAGACAGTGGTCTCACTCTGTCATCTAGGCTGGAGACCATCTCAGCTCACCAAAACCTCTGCCTCCCAGGCTCAAGCAATTCTCATCCTTCAGCCACCCAAGAAGCTGGGATTACAGGCGCCTACCACCACGCCCAGCTAATTTTTGTATTTTTAGTGGAGACAGGGTTTATCATGTTGGCCAGGTTCGTCTCGAACTCCTGACTTCTAGTGATTCGCCCGCCTCCCAAAATGCTGGGATTACAGTGGTGAGCCACTGCACCTGGACTCTTGACCTTATTTTAAAATAGTATTTTACATATTACTGTGGAAATGTGGGGCACAAAACGTAACAAATACTAGGTATTAATTTCAAAACTACCCAGAATGGCTTACGGAGGTTTCTATTTGTTGATTTAAAAATATTTTAAAATGTTGTAATTTTTACAAATTAAAAAGTTCCCATAACTAATTATTTACATGAAGAAAGTGACCAGATACAAGTGGAAAATGGAAAATTTAGAGGGCAGTAAGGTAAGAGGGAAGATATAAAAACAGGAAGAGAAACTAAAGAAAGTAAAGATCAAAGATTTAGGAAAAGTTTAACCATTTCTCCAAACCTATAGTCACATAGTCATTTACCCAGGAAATACAGTTGGCTGCTCCCAGAAAAACAGCTGAGTTATTTGCTCTAGGTGTTTTCAGTTTACCAATTAAAACAGGCCACATTCTCAGTTCCAGACCCAGGGCCTGGAAAAGGCCCCCCATCAGTGGCATTTGATGACCCTCCCATGGCCCAGCAGGACTAATTGAATTTTTCACTTGATAGCTTTATGTATGAGGGAAACTTAAAGACATTTCTAACACATACTTCTCTCCATCTCAGGTATTAGAATAAATGCCTAATATTTCAAATAGTGGTATGATCATACTGTTTTAGTATCACTTCTTTATTATCATCACCAATGGGTATTAAACAGTGAAAAGCAGCTCTAACTTTTACATCAATGAAAACATTATACATTACAAAATACTGTGTTTAGAGGACAAAAGATGTCACCTTCATATCTTTTTAAAGCATCTAATTTCTATTTAAGTGTATACTTAATATTTCTATCTCTATTATAAATGTAAATAATTCTATTTATACAAATGTATACAAAATAAATGTATACAAATGTATACATCTGTATAAATGTATCAAATTTATGTAGAAATGTATACATTTGTATAAATATATCAAAGAGATAGCAAGGTATTCAGTTTTAGTAAACAAGACATTTCTATTTTAAGTGTATAATATTAAACAAATCTGCCAAAAGAAAAATATGCATTTATAAAAAAGGCAAATTAGAAATTATGTCCTTCACAGAAATCCACTACAGGATTCTGAATCTTAAAATTGTCTTCATGTATTTAGGATAGAATTTGATGCATTTATTATTTTTAAGAGATAGGAGTTATTATATAAAGCTGAAAGTCCAACCAAATGGAAATGGTATCCACAAATTCCTAAAATACTATTCTAATCATCTGAAACAAGAATAAGTTTTTCAAATAAGAGTCAGTTGAATCAATAGTTGTTTATTTTAGATACTTTATTGAGAGCTGCTACTTTATTAAAGACTAAGCCTATAAGGAAATAAACGGGGTTTAATCCAAGTAATATGAAAGTGAACTAACTCTTCACCTTACTTTCTTTTTCCCCCAAATAATTTTGATTTCATTAATGGATTTTGTGTGTGTATGTGTGAATGGCTCTAAAAAACACCTATTTTGAGACTGCGGAAAGGGAAGGACAAAACAAATCACTTCATAAATTTGTGAAATACTGCCCTACTATACTTTTTAAAAATAATAAAAATACTATAACATTTCCTCACTTCTCTCATGAATACTTTATTTTTGATATTGCAAATTCTATACGTACACAGATGTATAGAACTCAATGCCCTGCTGAAGCCTCTAAAAATGTACAGAGATGGTTTTAAAGTAATTTAATTTATACCATCTTAATCTAAGCTTTGTAAAAATGTATCTAAGAAATAGCAAGGTATTCAGTTTTAATAAACAAGATAGTGCTCCTAAAGTGGTCCCTTGAAGTCCGAGGCAGTAGGCAGCTGCAAACATCCGACTGAAAGCCCATCTATGGCTTCACAGCTTCCAGTCGAGGATGTTTACAGTCGCTCACTGTCAACAGCAATATACCTTCTTTAGCTTTCTGTACGGTTAACCTGAAGAAGTAATCCCAGCTAGTGTTTATAAGATGTGCAGAAAACAATTCTCCCAATTACTGAAGGTTCATTCAAACAGCAATACTCTAGAAAATGTTTCAAATTCAAAACCAACAAGAAGGCTCATGGATGTCTATTATTCATCAACCAAGTTTCTAATTTCTATAAAAATGTTGTGATATTCTAAGACAACATACGTAAATGGTTTCATCCATTATTGTTAGCCACAAGAAGTAAATAGGCAAGTGGCCAGGTTACCTAATATGACTTCAACATGCAAAAGTGACCAAACACAGAAACTAAATTATCTTAACAGCATAAAGTGTACATTTAACATTAAATACTGCAGTTAAGTGAACTTAGACTACCAGTGAAAATATAAAAGGTCTACTTGGAAAGTTATAAACTCTGACAAAAAAAAAGAAGAAAAAAAAAAAGACTTACGTGCTGCTTTCATAGATCTCTTTTGCTCAAAAGTCTGCTCCCAGAGAGGACTTGTACAGTCAGCTGATTTTTGAAGGAGTAAGCAACAATCAGGAGAAAAACAGAAAAGAATAACGAGGTATAACACAGGCGTATATCAGTTTGTGGATCAAAGTTTCCCACTGGAAAAACACAGAACCTATCACTCACAACAGTGACGCACATTAACTCCAAATTTGAATGTTTTGAATTCCACTCCCATTCTCTTATGAAAATAAATGAGGAAAACTGAAGGTTAAGCTCTATCAGTCACTACTTTCCTGAAGTAATTCAAAACCATTCTGAGTCTAGTGAAAGATTAAGTTGATACAGAAAAGTGGGGGTGCCTTTCCCTGAGATTTGTTTTCAGATGAAGTTACCTTAAGGTTCTTAAATTGCATAAATCTTAGTAGTTGTGATAGCAAACCTGAAACAAAAATAAAATCCACACAAAAAGCATCATGTTTACTGAAACTAACAAATATGAAGAACTCCATAAATTACTTTTTCAAAGCAAAGGTAACTCTATTCCATTAAGGTTAAAAAAGTTAATCTTTGAGTCAGCAGGTGAAAACAAGCTGAATTATGTTGTGGCCTTTTTCTTTATTAACTAAGGACTTTGAACTATTAAAACTTCCTAGGGAACCAGTTTTCTCAATGGGTCAAGTCACATAGGGGAACAAAGCAAACTTTATCAGTGCTGTGCAATTCCACATTCCAGAAATTCTTAGTACTTGGCATTCATATACCACTGCTGACTAGAGCTTGGGTCAATCCACCACTCAGCTGTGGCTATCAACCTTATGAACTTCTCACCAAGATACCCACTTCTTTTAAGTTAGCCACAACTAGACAGGCAGAGTACTCTTTAATTAAAATAGATAAATACCAAGGCTTACACCCTGGGGAGACATTGTATATCAGTGACTTTTTACAAAAAGAAAATATTTTACTACCATAAATTTTTCTCAAAGTGACAGGACCCCTACATGCCTTGGAAACTTATCACTTTTAAATAACTGTAAAGTTAACATGTAAAACAGTGACAAGTAAATACTAAGCAAACAATCTCAAATAACGAATAATTCCCTGTGGAGACAACAAACTTTAACCTAACTTTAAAACAGCCTTTTGCTCAGAACTTCAAGAATAAACACCAAAAGTTCTCCAAACAAAATAATTAAAGACCATAAGATCTTAGTTTTAAGAGTTAGTAAATAAAAAGGCATTTTATTGCCTAAATGTATATGGGCTCCTCTTTTAGCAAGATAGGAGCTAAGTGTAATCTATGTGACAGCTAAAGCAGATTTGTTCCAATAGGATGCCAAACAATTTTGCCAGTTTAACTGAGACTCAGCATTACTTAAACTATCTGCTCATTTCTTTGGTTACTGAGCAATATAGGTCCCACTTGGATCGGCAATTCTCCTAGTGAGAAGGTGGCAATAGAATGACCAGGGTAGCTTTTTCTAATCCCATGGACTGCCTCTGCCATAGCCACAGGGCAATTCTTATTCAGTTGATGGGGAGGCTGCTGGGTATATGAATTTTGCAAAAGCTATCAAACAATTTTGCTACACCTTCAGGACAGAGAACCACTGATCTAGAAGTACTAAGCTAAATAAGTTTGTTTAAGACTAAAAATATCTCGCCATGACCTGAGAAATGTGACCAGTAAATCCATTTAAAAATTGTGAATTAAAAACAGATACGGCAGAATAAGAACTAACTGTGTTCAATACATCAGACCCTGATTTGTCTTATACAACCCTAGGTATGCTTACAAAAAACAATGTACCTACTTTAAAACCATAAGGCTACTCTTTAGTCCTGTTAGACAAGGTCTCTAAAGCCTTCCCACTTTAAATCACGAATCTGGATGTCTGTACCCTGGACAGGCTTTATTATCTTCCTCACGTCCGTTTTAAGTGCTTTAAGGATTAATTCTTTCTGGTGGAGCGTCTAGGAGCAGCCCAGAGAAAGTGTAAAAAATTGCTTTAGCTACCCTGAACCATTCAATCTTGAACCCTCTCAACTGATTTTATTATCATTTTTATATTTATAAACCTTTATAATATTTTCCCTAAGATATGCATAACTAAAAATAAAATATAGCCATCCAAGCTGTCCCTCTCTATTTATATAACCAATTATCTGGATTTTAAGATATTGGAATTCTTAAACTGAATAGCCCATACTTGAATGGTAAGATTTTTGGCACTTATCAGCAAGTGGCAGAGGTTACCTCTTCTCACTCACTCACTCACTCACTCACTCAATCTAATCCTATTTAATCTACCTGATCTATCTATCTAATCTATCCATCTATCCATCCATCCTGGGACTCTCCTTTCGCCATGGAAATGCAAAAGTACATAAAGTGACCATGACACCTAGACACCAATGCTTCTCTCTCCTCTTCCACCCTTTTCCTCTCATGTCCATCTAACCTTCTCACCCTCTATCCTTGGAGTGTTTGCAGTGGAACTCTAAGAATGAATGTGTTCCATGTCAGCACTGGACCCAGTGCCCAGGCTCTACATCCTTCCATCCTCCATCTCTTTGGGGGTTCTTAAGTGTCCAGGGTAGCTGCAGTAATAGTTTTGGCATTCATCCTCTGTCCTCTTCCTTTGGAAAAACACATGTAAAGACAAAAAAAATCCAAGTGGTCTTTGATTTCTTTCCTAGAAAGCATACATAGGACTGATCTGAAATTGAAGTAACCTAAATGTACAAACAAAATTCTGCCCTTTAAAATTAATCTTTACCTTCTCTGATTCATACTTTTAAACATAGCCCACACTCTTTTTAGTCTAATTCAAGGGTTTCTAATTCATTATATTTCCTGCTAATGATAATGATGAACCTTCCCTTGAATGTCTCCATAATTAATACAAATACAGACCTACTTACTCCTTGCCTCATGAAAGTGGGCGAAGGCTGGTAGGAATTTAGTGGGAGTGATTTCCTATGGATTGTGCAAAAGGGCGAGATTGTTAAGGAATTCAAATTCTAGGAAGCAAAGTATTATCTTGGATAGTACAGAGCTTACAGTTATAAGGAATAAAATCTCTAGAAATGAATACAGCTTAAATGTTTGCTGATAAAATGCTAATGAAAAATAAATTTAGAATTAAGCAAAAGTGTATGTACTCAAGTTTAAAGCCTTAATTTTAATACAACTTCAACTAGGTATTTGTTCTATAATAAACAATGTCTATACATTATCTCATTTCATCCCTGCCACAGCAAGATGAGGCATGTACAATCGTTACCATCACAGATAAGGACAACAGGCTTCGAGAGCTGAAATAACATCCATTACTCACTTTTCTTTTCTGATTTTTTTTTTTGTTTTGTTTTGTTTTTTTTGAGACGGAGTTTCACTTTTGTTACCCAGGCTGGAGTGCAATGGCGCGATCTCGGCTCACCGCTGATTTTTTTTTAATTGTAAGCTTTTCTGAATCATTTATGGAGTACTGGAGGGTGTGGGTTTCAATAAATATGAAAAATTTTTGAGAATAGAAACAAATATTGAGATCCTTTGGTGATGAAATAATTCATTCAGTGACTCATTCATTCATCCTACATATATTGATTTGCCAAACTCTCCTCTAAGGTAATACTGATTTACTATCTATGCCGGGGTTCCTCAGAAAGGAGTTATCAAAGCTTGTCAAATAGCTTTTATAGTTGTGGCTACCCTACTTTGTTCCTTCTGCACTGGAACGCCCACCTGGCTGGAGCCTCTCCTTCCTACTTTGGCTGGCATTCTTGCAAGGGAGGGGGATTCCAGAGGGTCAGGGCATCCCAGCCCCCAGGCTAATAGGGGACTTTCCACCCCACTCCCATCCTGCTCCCTCCCTTCCTTCAGGCAAGTCACTGTCAGCAGTTCCCTGGCACCTCCCTCAGACCACCTGCTGGCTCAGTTCATTCCTCCCCAGGGGTGACTGCTCCAGGAGACTCCTCTCAGGAAGGGCAACCCTAGCCAAGAAATGCCCTTCTATTGAAATAGGTCTTATTTCTAAAGGGATATTAGGTAGATTTAAGATGAATTTCACTGTAATAATTACTTGGCTAAATTTAGAATTCAAATAGCTTTTAAAAAAAATCAAAGCTGTAAGATTAAATTATCTACACAATAAAAGCTGAACACAATTCAGTGTAAAGATAAATTATTTCAGAGGAACATAATTCTATAATAGAAACTGCATCTTAAAATATACATATTTTGTTTATAAATTTCACTATTAAAAATACCCATTTCTAATTTAGGTCAACTGTATATAGTTGATATTTCCATCAATATTTTAAGAACTTAAGTGATTTTGGTGACTTAAAGAAACACTAGAAAGTAATCTGGTACTCATTCATTATTTTATATTTTAGAAAGCATTTCTAAAGCCAAGGTTAGTTTAGAGTCTTTTATTAATCATTTTGTGTAAAACAACAATAATCACCACAAAAAAGCTAGATTTCTGACATAGTTAGAAACTAACCCATTCTGAAATTATATAATCATTAGAACAAGTTTACAAAGCTATGCAATGACAAAAAACATGAGATATCCCATCAAGTTAAAGAAAAGCCAAAAAAGAAACTGATATAATCATTACCATGTTAAAAATTCATGAATTTTTTCTCTCTACTTTTCTGTATTTTACAAATTTTGTTTAATGTGAACACTTTAATACAAATTGCTTTAGGAACAACTGACCCATTTCAGACATAAGAAATAATGTATTTCATATCTCAAGAGTAATATAGACAGTACCAAGATAGTTCTGACGAACAGTTCTCTATCTAGGTAATTGTTGGAAGGAGAGAAGACTCCATACACCTCTTCCCTGAAGGCTATGATTCTGTCTCAATCACAATTCTATCTACTGGAACACCCCATAATGTGCCTTGTATACAGTAGATGTTCAGTATATATTGGCTAATTTTTAAGATGTTGATGAGAAGATTCTTTTTTTTTTTTTGAGACAGAGTCTCTGTTGCCAGGATAGAGTGCAGTGGTTCGGGTCACTGCAATCTCCACCTCCTGGGTTCAAGTGATTCTCCTGCCTCAGCCTCTAGAGTAGCTGGGATTACAGGTATGCACCACCACGCCCAGCTATCATGTTGGCCAGGATGGTCTCAATCTCTTGACCTCATGATCCGCCCGCCTCAGCCTCCCAAAGTGCTGGGATAACAGGCATGAGCCACCACACATGGCTGATGAAAAGATTCTTAAACACACCTTACTTATATATTTATACAGCATCCTTCTTTTGAAAAACGTAAAATCTCACAGCTCTTTAAAAAGTACTGTTTTCCCCTTTAAAAAGTGATGGAATTGAGACAACAGTTAATAACTGGTACAAGTTAGAGCCCTAACATGAAGATGTGGTTCCCCACCCATCCTGTGGTCTATGAGAACTGTCCAGAGACCAGCCGATGTTTTCACCAAGGCAGGAAGACGCATAGCATCAGACCATTTTGATAGTGACCAGCACAGACAGGTCTCTTAGGCTTGCAGCCTGTTCTCTCTCTGAATGGAAACCAGGATACCCACACCTCACAGACCTCTTCTGAGAAGTGACTGAGGTAATGCACAAGAAAGTATCACATACATATTCGTGATTTTTCCTTATTATGACTCTGATTATAAACACGTTAGGGCTAAACAGAACAGTGTTTACTAATGGAAACAAACTATTAAAATGTTATTTGGGCTTTTAAACTAGCTAAATGATCTCATTTCACCTCACTAGACATCTATTTCCTCAACTGTAATAAGACGCTTAATCAGATTCTCTCTATAATCCTTTCAGCTATAAAATTCTATGACTTAAATTCCTTCATTGCTTGAATTTATGACGTAGAGTAGAAACTGGAGAGAGGGAGGGATGAAGAATTTTTTTTTAAGTTAAACATATATGAATAATGAAAACAGACTTACCTTGCCTAGTGTGATTTTTCCTAATACAAAGAACCACCAATTACCCTGAATTCATTCAACATCACTTCCCACACCCACACATTTTTAAAAATAGCAAGACTACAAAATAGTTTCAGAGTATATTTACAGACACAGTAGTCAGTAACTGGCTTATGAAGCTTTCTATAGAAGAACTTTTCTCCAATATTGTTTGGCATGGGAATTGGTTTGCAAGCAGCAAAATAAAAGAGACTCATATACCATGGCAAACAATGACACAGCATACAGAAAACAAGGTTATGAAATTCCTTAGAGCAGGGTGCAGTGGCTCACACCTATAATTCCAGCACTGTAGTAGGCCGAGGAAAGACTGTGTGAGCCCAGAAGTGAGACCCCATCTCTACAGAAAGAAAAAATAACACTAGCCTGGCATGGTGGCACATGCCTGTAGCCCCAGATGCTCAGGAGGCTGAGGCAGGGGGATCACTTGAACCTGGAAGGTTGAGGCTGCAAAGAGCCCTGTTCATGCCACTGCACTGCAGCTTGAGCAACAGAGACACCCTGCCTCAAAAAAATCTTAAGTCCAAGCTTTAAATCAGGTTATCAGATCTTCATGTCACTGCACAAGAGAATGGGCAGCTGATATGGTTTGGCTATGTCCCTACCCAAATCTCGCCTTGAATTGTAATAATCAACCCATGTCAACGGTGGGGCCAGGTGGAGATAACTGAATCACAGGGCCGTTTCCCCCATACTGTTCTCATGGTAGTGAGTAAGTCTCATGAGATCTGATGGTTTTATAAGTAAGAGTTCCCTTGCACAAACTTCTTGCCTGCCACCATGTAGGATGTCCCTTGCTCTTCCGCCATGCTTGTGAGGTCTCTTCAGCCATGTGGAACTGTGACTCAATTAAACCTCTTTCCTTTATAAATTGCCCAGTAGTGCATATGTCTTTATTAGCAGCATGAGAACAGTCTAATACAGCAACTTAACTTGAAACAGCTCTCTGTATCTCAAAAAAATCAAAGGCACTTTTAGTAGATTTTTACTGCAAGTTAACATTTGATTTAAACTGTTGCAGGCTAATGGAACCTCAGTGGCTCACATAAAGATTTTCTAGACTTTCAACAAAATAACTGCAAACTTCTAAAATAAAAATCATACTTCTATTCAAAGAATAGTTATTAAAAAACTCATGTTATGATTGCATTCTACTGTATTCACCTAATTAATATATAGTCACAGCAGGTTTGTGCTAAATTTGAACCACTAGGGATAACTGATGATGAAAATACAGTATGACTGGCCCTAATTTTATTTGTAGAGTTAAGCGTTAAGAGTAGAGTTTTTTAAAAAAGCTCAGGTCAACCAAACAGGGCAGCCACAGAAGCAACAGCAATGAGCCACCAACTCCTGTTTTGCTTCTCTTGTCTCTAGGGATAAAGAGTCTGAGAAGGCATGGGATAGTTTCCATTTGCTTCTAGGCCCAGGTTCCCTTTCTCCCTAACTCTAGACAACCTTGGTGTGGCAGCAATCTAGGATAAACAAATGGGGAGAACGGTGTAAAAAATTAAAATTTCCATGATTATAGGAAAGCATGAACAAGTGGGAAAAATTGATAAATGAAAAAAAATAAGAAAAAAACTCCTTTTCCTGCTCTCTATCCCCACGTTTTACTGATGATTCCTCACATGTGTGAACAGCAGTTATTGCCATGCATTGATCAAGAAAAACATCTTTAGTTTACTTTGTTTCACAGATAGAAACCTAACCAAACCTCCTAAGATCATACTTTTCTATATGACAAATGAACAACTATTTAAAAATAAATAAATTTCTTCAAATCTAGATTTTTACTATCTAGATTAGCTCAATTTTTTTTTTTTTTTTGACAGAATGTCACTCTGGACCAGGCTGGAGTGCAGTGGCACAATCTTGGCTCACTGCATCCTCTGCCTCTTGGGTTCAGGCGATTCTCGTGCCTCTGCCTCCTGAGTAGCTGCGACTATAGGTGTACACCACTACAGCCAGCTGTTTAAACTTAGTGTTTTTCATAAAAGCTAATGAATAACCTACCTTTTCTATAGAAAGCAGCATAAAAAGAGAGCTAAAGGTTTACAAATAAGATTGACCATATTCTTTGAATTTTCTGGAAGAGTTACAATTTCAATTATTTTGTTCCAATGTAATAACAAAACAGTAGGAAATACTTTCAGACTGTGATCCAAGAAAAGTCATTATAGATGATTTGAGAAGCATCAAAAAAATCCTAAATTCCCAAAAGAATTCTTATTCTGACTTTAGTTTTACATTCTACAGAACAATGCCACACTTCCTCTTTACCTAAATTATCTATTAAGAAAAGAGAACTATACAAATGTACTTTATATTAACTTCAAAAAATGTAATTGATGAAACAAATTACTCTAGAGTTTCTGAAACATTAATTTTTAAAAATCACCACATTGGTTAGGATTCTAAGGTATGCAAGTCTTAGTTATATTCTTATTTTTTCCTTCTTTCTAATGCTAGTGTTAAAAATGCCTCTGGTATTTTCTAAATGTGCTCAGAAGTCGTAGGGCTCTGACAGTTTTTTAGCTAATAAATATAGCAATAGAGTACCTGCAGTTCTGCCGACAATATTGTTTATAAGTCCAATCCACAAAGGCTACAGAGAAAAATACCCAGTATAAACAAACATTACTTAGATACCAGTGGCATCTTAAAGCAGCACACCCAAGTCTCAAAATGCAAAAGGGAGAAATTTTCCACTCCCACGATGCCAGGTACAACTCCCTGGTAATGCACATGTCAGGTAAAAGACACTGACATTGCCTCTGTTACTGTGAAGCTGGGGAGGAGGTGTGGGTGTGAAGCAAATCAGTAATTCTCTCTGTTCATTTTTTCACTTTTTCCCCTCAATATGTCTCTTCTTTTCCACAATGTCTCTCCTTTTTCCATATTTCTTACTTTTAGGTGCTTTCCCATCTTCTTCCATCCCCGATTCCAACAACAAGATAGCTTTGTCTTTTAATTCTGTTGTTTAACATCAATCTCTAAATTTTATACAACATACATTCATAAACACTACTGGATAATATTTTCAAAAGAATATACAAAGGACAAAGTCGGGGATGAAGTGGGATGGGGTTAAAGCTAAGAAAAAAAATCATCCACTGTTATTTGCAATGCCTAACCTTCTAGCTGAGAAAGAAGTTAAACACTCCAAAAAAGCAGCAGTCAGCCAAGAAATGCTAGGAAAAGGTAAGACATAAAGGTTCATGTAGCCCTATGAGAATCACATAAGCTAGTATAGCCACCTCACCAGGCTGAACAGGCAGCTGAAACCTGAGGAGACCTCCTCTTTCTAAGTTTGCCCTTTACTTCTAGAGCCCAGAGGCTTAAAATTGAGGAATGAGGACATGTTGCTCTGTAAGACTAGGCCCAGCTGAGTCCCTGATGCTTTCCAAGTAGACGCAACTTCCCAAACTCTTGCACATACGCACATACTTCTGTTGCTTCTTAGCACTAATAAATTTTCCACTATGCCTACACTTATCACTCTCCCCTTCTTAAGGCCTTACCATTAAATAAAACTTTGTATCTTTTCTCAATTGCAAAATGAAGATAATTATAATTATGAAGTTAAGAGGATTAAATATTCTAGTTTTTATAAACTGTTTAAGACATGAAACATGTATCAGTGTTTGGGACATTAAAGTATTTGTTCAAATAAAATAAAAATAAAGTAAACCATCTGTGAATACATATACCCAAATCCAAACAACAAGTTTTTCACAATGGCAAAACAGACTTCAAGCAGAAAAGAGCACCAAATGTATTTGTCACTGTATCATCAATGCTACAGAATTACTAAGGACTAAGAAAGATTTCCTAAGAAACCAGGCTTTATCTTAAACTTCCATGTTTAGTCACCCTTGGTCCTTAAACACTAATTATTAAGGAAGAAATACATTTATTTATTTTCTGAAACCACATTTTATAAAGTGGAAGTATGAGAGTCTACCCTTAGTATGGAACATCCTGTATCTGACTATTCAGCATTGCATTCTTTGGGTATTATTCATATAATATTATTTAAGGCATTTCACTGTATATTCTAAAAAAAAAGAGTTTGAAGTGAAATGTTTATGAGAAACAAGCTTACTTTCATTTCAAGTCAGGACTACAATAAAATGAGAACAGCTAAGATGAAAACAGAAAAATAAAAAAGGGACAATACTGAAAGAGATGATGATGATAAGAATATAATGCCAGCTTCATGACAAAAATCTACCACGCTTATAATGTGTGACTAAGTAAATGATAAATGGCATCAAAACTTATTATAAACAGAGATCAGAGTGATCTTGAATATGGACCTACCTATCCGGGAAGTATAAAATTACCTCATGAAAGTGAAAACTCTTCTTTAAACTTCGATTTCCCTATTTTAAAATTGATTTTAAAGTACAAATGTTCTAAAAATATGTTTGGAGTCTCACGATAAATTACCAAAAGTTACAACTGTGTGTGTGTGTGTGTGTGTGTGTGTGTGTGTGTCTTCTATTAGAATTTGGCAACAAGTTTAACTATTTTTTTCCTGGTCATTGAAATATAAACTGAAAAAATTTTAAATTGAAATGTCAACTTATAAACCTGTAAGACAGCTAACCATATTAAAAATTACTTCCCAAAGACTGATTTCACAAATTTAAGACCTAGAAAATTTTAAACATGTAAACACCTGTTCTCTCAGTTATAGTAATAAAATGTTAAGATTTTAAAAATATATTTGACTTTTAAAAAATATTGTGTTTACAACAAAATTCTACTCATAGCAATTCAAGGAATATACTTGGAGTTTTTATGAAAATAGATAATTAAATCCTGATTTAATAGGAAGTATTAGCACTGATATTTTTAATCCACACAAATGGAATTTAAAAATTTCCAAAAGTTTCTGTTAAAGATGTACAGTTTTGAAGTGTTAAGCTTTTCTAAATTTTAGCATTGTAATTTAAAAAGTTCTAACTTCTGCAGGAAGGAGAGTACACTTCATTTAGCCAAGAAATTCCCATTACTTCTAGATTAAGAAGCCACACCCCATACAACTACTGACAGGAAAACATTTTTAATTCAAACCTCTAACACTACCCAGCCTGAAGCAAAGTTAAAAAAAAAAAAAAAAAAAAAGGACACAAAAATACAAGCACAGCTCACATTTTCAAAGAAAGGAAACTCTCACTAAATAAGTAGCAATTATGCTGAAGAATTTATATGCTAAAGCACGAATGAATATAAAAACACCAGAGCAGTCAACCATAGCTTTAGCACTTAGAGTATGATTAACAGAGTGAACTTTCAAAGGTCAATTAAATGTCAACACACTTTAAAGAGATATTCTTAAGTTTGGTCAACGTATAATAGCACCTCTTAGTTCAGGGGTATCCTTCTAAGTTTAAGCATAATGTGCATAAGATAAATATACATATATATGCAGAATTATAACATGTCTCCATCCAGATTACTACAGAAACTCATATAGCATCTACCCTAGAGTTTTGACTATGTTAATATTCCCCAAATTACGAAATGATTAAAAGAAAACATAAATATATTCTTATATAGCACTATCCATGAAGATGAAATGTTTATGACTAAGGTGTATGAAGTTGATCCTATTTATTCAACAATACAAAATCATTCCTAAGGATAATGTTATATTGTCCACAATACATATTATCCAGATACGTAACTCATCCCCTACTAATGTTCCCTGAATTATTGTGGTTAAAGAGTTTGGAGAAAAGGAATATGACATTTAAAAATTGCCAAGTTTAGCATCGGAAATTTCTGCGATAGTACAAAACAAATCCTAAAGGCACTGAGTGCCCATCACTGACATTTCCATCCAAGAACTCAGTTAATATCTTCAATCACATCCCACATGAACTAGGTCAAATTGTCCAAGAACATCACAATGAGTAGAAACCACCAAGATTATCTGGCCCAATCCTTTCCACTTAACAGATCAGTAAATATAGATCCAGAGAGGTAAAGCAACCTGGTTTGACTCACACAGCTCCTTAGCAGATGTCCTAAAGCTCAGTCCAGTGCTTTCTTCTCTACACAAAATCCATCATATACTTTTTTTTTTCCATTAGGACTTTAAGACCAGGATATAATTGATCAAATAAGGGTGGCTACCATCAGAATTCAGAGAAAGCTGGGATCTTTAAGAAGCTAATGATCTGGGAAGGTTCCAAGAAGCAGCTAGAAATCGAGGAATGAGTAGAATCTAGGTGGTTTGAGAGGAGACATCATTAATGAGGGAAATATGGGATAACACATAGTGGTGAGCCTGCCATGTTCCTGAACTATGGAGACAATGTTTACATGAAAATGAGGTTTTTAGGCCACCTTATAAGCCAGGCAGAAAAGGTCAACTTGATGAGGGAACAAACAGATAGTGATTAGGGGACTTTAATTTAGAAACCTGATGTGATAAACTCAGAGACTAGTCTATCATAAGGTGTGCAAGAATAGAGATGAGAAGACAGAAAGACTTGAGGTGCTTCATAGGGGTCTGTTTAATAATATTAACACCTTATAGGGCTTTTGTGAGGAACAAGTGAGCTGACAGGAGAGAAAGTACTTGACAAGAATAAATGCCCTAGAAAGTAAAGTTATATTAAAAGTCTGTGGGTAGGAGCCTCTCTGACCAGATCGCTGTGTTTTGGTGACATACACTTCTCTATAAAAGCAAATTTGGAGATGAACTGTGGATCTATTCCTGTAAGATCACAGAATCTCTTCCCTTCAATATTTCTAAAAGCTAGATCCCAAGGGGGAGAGACGGCTGCCATCCTTAAGCCCCTCCAAGGCAATAGATCAGTAATGCTAAAATTCAAAACTAGGATTCTGTCTTTGAGGCAGACCCATAATCAGTGTTTCTCAAAGTGAGTCAAGAAAGTATATAATTAAGTGCTAAATAAGGTAGTGCAAAAAAGGAGCAGAGTAGAAGAGACAGCACCTGGGCCAAGGAGGTACATGATGAAAGTTATTAGCTGGCACTGTAGCACTGCAGTCCACATCCTTTCCTACCTTTTCCCTCTGCTCAACAACTATTTAGCAATGTGACCTTCCATTGTGTCCACAGCTACTTATCTCCTCCTGTGTTGTCTTCCTCTCTTTTCCTTCTTCTACAGCAATTCTCCAGGGCTACAAAGAAAATTTGAAAAAGTTACTATAATAAATTAAAAGCTACATATATTGAATATATACTGTGTGATTTATTAGCTGATGATGTTTTAGTTTATAATCTTATATAATTTACAAAACAACTCCTACGCAGTAGTACTATTATCTTCATTTTTCAAGTAAGGAAACTGAAACTTAGAGAGTCAAGGATGTAGACTGAAGCCACCCAAGCAGTAAATGGCAAAAGTAGGATTGCAATCATGACTGGCTGACTCCTCAACCTATGTTTTGAACCTCTCTTCTAAACAATCGCTGTTCCCCCTTTTTAACTGATAAGCTTGAAAATTGTCACTTAGACACTGGGCATTTATAGATAGAGGTTAGGAGCCGTTATATGAATTTGTAGATTAAGTTTTGACAACCGAGAACAGAGGTGCCTGGGCTTAGCCACACTTGCTTTCCAAGTTATTTGCTTTAGGACTAAAATTTTTTAAATGTGAGGCTTAAAGGACGTTGAGGGGACGGCCCTCCCTTCAGCATCCTTGTCTGTTCTCTCTCAGGTCATCCGTCCCTTAGGATCCATTCCCAATCATTTGCTTGAAAACTTTATCTCCCTAGTTGAAGAGAAGGCTGGGACTGCCACTCCCACAAATCACCAACAAGCTAGAGAGGGTGGTGGGAGTATCCCACTAGCAGGCAAGATCTGTGAACCGGGGTCTCTTGAGCCTTGTGTCTCAAAGCAGCTTTAACTCTGCTCATAGGTGGTACATTCTATGTCGATTTACCTGCAGAGGGGGTTTCAAGAGGGGTTTCCTGGCCACAGGGCTCAACTAAGAGGTAAGGCCAACGTGTCTAGTGCTAGAGGGGAAATGATCAGAGCAGTGAGCATCTGGGGGCCTTTTTAATGTTCCTAGAAGAAAGCAACATGGGCATTACAACTGTGGCAAGAAAACTCTAACACTAATTCTTAAAATTTAGTGTGATTAACTGTCACTTTTGAAGGAGCTCATTAACCCATTTATGCTGGAGGTTGGTTGCAAAATTTTTGTGAAAAATTGGACCTTGGTGATGACCTTGAGCAGCAGGATATAAATAACTCCCACAAGCTTAGCATTCCAATAATGGAACACTAGGTATAAATGGGTCTTACGAGTAGAAATTACAGGTTCTGTTTACAGACATTCTGATTATGTAAATGTGGGATGTGTCCAGGAGTTTGAAGTTTTCTGAGTACTACAGGTGATTCCTATACAGGTGATCTAAGGACTACATTCTCAGATACACTGAGGTGGTCTCTTACAAGGCTGCCACTAGGCTTTCCAAAAGTTGCCAGGTTTACGAATGTTGAAGGGGTGCATTAGTATTTTCCTGATGTCACCAAATAGACCCTCAGAAGAATAATGGCATTTCTCACTGCAGTCCACATTCCACATTAGACCTCTTCTACACAAAGTGATTGTCGAGATTGAAGACCTTCTTGGCAAGATGCTACTTCCAGTGCTTAATTTACATTTGGTGAAAACACTGACGATAATTTTCCTCACTGCGGATTTAGTTGATTTCAAAAGGTACACTTTCCTTCATGTAACCAAATTGAATGGTTTATTTCAAGCTATTCTAAAAATGAATTTAAAAAAATCAGACAGAATTCAATTGAGATATTATGATTACAATTAGGCCATTTAATTAGACATCCAATCACAATGCAAACAGCTGCTGATTAAGAAATATACCTTTTCAAAGGTTTGTGTTCTTCAAACAAAACTAGGTCATAAAATGTATTACGTTAAATCAATACTGCTATCTTTCTATCAGGAATCCTATCACTTGTCTTTGTCTCTTTCCAAATGTGTAGACCTGTTTTAAAGCATAAACGTTCAGGCTAGATGCTGGAACTAAGCTCTGTTTTTCTGCCAGTTCTTTCTTTGATACCTTTCTATTACAGCATGATCACCATTCTCTTTCATGATGGACAAGATGGACCTTAGGTAGTCTTATCTGAGTATTTTCTTCAGCAAATATTTGTTGAGTATCTGTATTTATGCATTCACTTTTGTAAAGAACTTTTATTGCAATAAGCTCCATGAAAAGAAAATGTCCAGTGGAGCACCTGACATCTAGAATTCACTCTCATGAAATGGTGAGAACACTGAAGGACTTTGTCATTACAGAACAAAATAATTTCTCCTCTATACACTACTAAGTATATATGCAGGATTTAAGAGAATTTTGTTATGATAAATGTCTGATTTTACTATTTAGAGAAAAAATACAGGTTATCATAACCAAAAGTTAACACACGATTTGTCTTGCAGTACAACCTGTGATGACAGTATTTCAATACCATTGCCAGACTAAACCTTCAACATTAATTATTTATCAAAATTATACACGCCACTAACACATCTCAACAAAGAAGATTATGTAAGTAGCTGTCTTGGCGTCAGTAATACTGAACACAGTAGCTATTTTCAATCCTTCATTAAAATTAGATCAAGATGTACTTGCATTATGTGTTGCTGTTCCTGTAAGGAAGATTTACATTAGTTTAAGACTTACTTAGGATATAAGTGACATTTTCTTTTTCTTCTCTGTCAGAAGGGTCCCCTCCACCAGTGCCCACTGCCCCAACCAAAAAAAGTTTTCAGTAGAAAGAATACAGAAAACAAAAACACAAACACCTGCCCTGTTCACTCTCTCTTATGCATAATAAATGCTTTGTTCTCCCGCTAAACTGGATCAGGCAGGGATCGCTGGGGGCACCTGCCACTTCACCCTCAGGTTTGGCTCTCTGTCCCCTCCCTGGCCCTTAGATTCCAAATGGTGCAGAAAAATACAACATTCCTAAGGTTTGTAAAATAAGCAATGGGTAATTTATTTTTCAGTGAAGGAAAGCCTTTAAATGTTTTAAAATGTTTTAAAACATCAGACTTAAAAGTTACTTCTGAGTAGGCTGAAAGGTGACTCAGGACGCATGTAAACATATCCTGGCCTATCTCTTCAGAACTCACGCACCGTGTTGAGGCCCTAGGAAAATCTCAAAAACGGAGATGCAGTCTACAAACTGGACGACACCATAGAGCATGTTGCTGCAGCTCCACAGATTACCCATGAGGAAATCTAAGTGGTTAAGTCACTTGTCCAAGGTCAAACTGGGCCAGTCGCTTCTAACCTTTCCATCTCCCACCCAGCCTCGCACAGGCCCTTGGCAGCGTAGGCCCCCGAAGGGTTCCCACGGATACGGTTCGGAAGTCAGTGGCGTGTCAGGGCCCTCCAAGCTACCGCACTTTTATTTGTTCTCCCCGCCAGCTCCAAAAAGTATTAAAGGCACTCTCCACGCCTTCTTCCCAAGCCCAGGTGCCCTAAACCGCTTGAGCCCACCGCGCCGAAAGCCGACTCACCCGCAGCCCGAGGTGCGGGAGCCCTCGGACGGACTCCGGCCCTCCCCGCAGTCCCCGCCGGCCGCGCTGCGGCCGCGACTGACGACGAGTAGAGAAAGTCACCCGCGGTGACCGCGGACTCGAGGGGCGGGCCGCGTCGCGCCGCCCCGCGGAGGCGCCGCAAACTTTTCCCGGCTCGCAAGTTGCCTGGCTCCGCGGCCGCGGACCGACTTCCTCCGCCTGCCGCCGAAGCGAGGGGGCCCCCTAGCCCGGGAGGGGGCTGGGCGAGCCGGGAGTCCGTCAAGTTGGGGTCGGGGGAGCGCGGGCGCCCTGCACTCTGGGGCGCGCGGGGCCGAGCCCGGCTGCATTGTGTGCGCTGCCTCAGACCAAGCCCGGGCGGCGGTGGCATAGGCAGGCGCGGCGAGGAGTTGCAGCTCCGAATTTGCCGCCCCCTTTCGCCGCCGCCGCCCACCGCGTTCTTTGTGTGTCTCTCGCCGCCCTCCGGCAGCTACGCCGCTCGCCTGACAGCTGATGGGCTCACCGCGCCGGGTCCCGCGTCCTCTCGGCCGCCGCCGGCGGAGCCCGGCCCGGCCGAAGGAGGAGGGGAGAAGAGGAGCGTTGACAGATGCTGCCTCGGAGCGGCCACCGCCGGGGGAAGAGCGTGGACTGCCTCGGTGAGACGCGGCTGGTCGGCAACCGGCCCCAGCCTCGCGTTCCCCTTAAAGACCCCATTGGCTAGGACACCTTCCCTCCGCAGCCGCCCGCGCAGCTCCGCTCCCGCGCCCCGCGCCGGGCTCCGCGAACTAGCGCTCCCGGTCAAGAATCCAGGGGAACCCGCTCCGCCCCCTGCTCCAGCGCCCTCCAATAATGTCGGCGTACAGAGGGCAGTTCCGTCCAATCAGGCGTCGGAAAGGCCAACCAGTCCCCAGGAGTGTAGCCAATAGAAGGCGACTCCGGCAACACACCCGCCCTGATCCACTGGGAACAAACCGCCCCGAGCCCTGTGGTGGGACCGATCCTGGCGCCCAGATCAAGTCAAGTCCGGCCGCAGCTGTGTCACAAAGTGAGTCTCTGAAGACAGGTCCGGTGCTTAAATAACTATTCTAAAGAGTTGAAGATGGGAACTGTGGACGCATTAAATCTTTGCCCTAGGGTTAAAACGCCTTTTCTGGCAAAAGTTTGTGTGTGAAAGAAAGCTGAACAAAAACGTTGTAGCGCTGTTTAAGTGAAGGCCTTTCCTTTTAGAACACTGCTTTACAATGGCTAATCAGCCGGCGCTTAGGTTGATGCATTTAGATTCCGAAGGTTTGTGTTCCTAAGTTTGCCAGAATGTCAGAAATCTGAAACCGGCTAGTTTCTATCCTGCTTCAAAACACAGACTGTCACTAGCACTACCATGCTGTGTTTTTCTTTTCCATGAATGAAAATATAAGAGTTCTGTATGTAAATCATCTTTATTGTGAACTTTATTTCTATAATAAAGTCATACAAACTGTCTTCAGTGGAGGCGGGATGAAATACCGGAAAGGAATATAGATATAGATAACATATATGTAGGATATCTCCATCCATCTGCCACCCATCTATCAGGAGAGAACTGAGTAAAGCACTGGCTATAAACGACTGTAGTTTTTGGTCACAGGACCTTACTAATAATAGGCACACTAGTTATTTATTTGATTTGAATAGGATGGCTCATTTGTTATTGTTCATATGAAGTTTATAAACTTCACAGTTGTTTAGTGAAAGTGGACTACACCATGACAAAAACAGTATTTGGCAACACATATTTGCATATTTTAAAATAAAATTACACTTAATTTGTACTTCAAATAGTTATGTCAGTTTATTTCTTCAGGTAATACACTGTGCACTTAAAAATTTTGTACACATGTGGCATGTTCCTTTTTTATAAATTATTTTGATGACCAAATTGACTTTTTAAAGGATGATTTTTTTACAATGAACTGAAAGGCGGGAGAGAGATCTCAAACAAGAAAAAATTGGCTGTATTACCTCCTTGCTTTTATGATTGAAACTCACCACGTCTTACCACATGAGAACATGACCCCTGAAATGAAGTTTTGTCAACAGATCCAGATTCTGGATTGATCTTGAGCAAATCTCTTAATGAATAACTCTGTTGTAAGAGAACGATATGCCTGGCTCTACCTCCCTCCTTGGAGTGCTGTGAGATCCAACCAAGATAGTGTTTGTCAAGCACTTAGCTTTCTGTAAGATACTGTGCCAAATGCCAAACAGTCTTAAATGTGTTATTCTCTGCTTATTAATAGAACATTAATATTTCCTCAACCGCACATTTTTTCAATCTGAAATATATTTTTGAGCACATCAGTTTTCTCTCAAAATAGATCTGAATGAAACTCCTGACTGCTCATTCTAGATTAAAGCAGTACTTTTAGGGTTTATTTCTTTCTCTTTTTTGATGGAGATGTTAGAAGAGAAGAGAATAATACTGAGGAAAGAATTCTGGATGGAAAACGTTCAAAAAATTGTTTTCACTACTGATTACTCCTGGTATATTTCTCAAAAACAAGATGGATCATAATGTCCAATTTAATACTCTGTTCATAATGTTTAAAAATTTATGCAAGTTTCAATGTATACGCCTAAGTAAATTAATTTATCCTACGTCTGCTAATACAATTTTAGATAGAAGTAGTAAATGACTAGGTCAAAGTTATACCTATAAATCAAGTACTGAATTTAAACTTTTGGGGGTGAATTTATTAAAGATTCACTTATGGCTTTTGTACTTAGTTGTCGAAGAGGAAAATAAATGAGTATTTTTAGATTCCATGTGTCATATTATAATTTGTTTACTTTTCCCAAAATATACAGCTAGTACAGAAGTTTAATTATTACTGCAAACAAATGTACATATGGTGACACTAGCATGTAAGATTTGCTGAATTTAGTTGAACCAGCAGTTGTAATTTTCAGCTAATTAACTACATATTTCATTTTGTGAGTGAAAATTGTGGAAGAATTTATTAATATTAATTCAATACACATGACTTATTAAGTACATTCAAGTCAAAACCAGTGTTTGGTAATTTCCTGATAATCAACAAGTCCACACCCATTTATTACATGGAAATGAATACAGTGATTGTCTGGGTAATATTTGTGATTCCACTGTGGTGATGTTTCATTCACTAAGTGATATTTTCGGTTTTTCATTAGTGATTTCTTCATCAGTTGCCTAAAATGGAATGAAAGAACTGAAGCTATTTTAGAGAGTTATCAGTTTTAGCACATTTTAAAATGTTTATTAGGGAAACTGACTTTGGGGTTAGTTTTAGCATTTGTAAAGATAATTTTTAAAAATACATAGACATCTTTTATAAGTTCCCTCACATGATCTGTGGTAATACAACTAACAACAACATTATTTTCTCTGTATCTTTACATTTAATTTGCTATCATCTTTTTTTTGAGACAGAGTCACACTTTGTCGCCAGGTGCCAGGCTAGAGTGCAGTGGCGCCATCTCGGCTCACTGCAGCCTCCGCCTCCCGGATTCAAGCAATTCTCCTGCCTCAGCCTCCCGGGTAGCTGGGACTGCAGGTGTATCATCTTAAGATTGCTTCATCAGTGAGTATAACAAATAACTGGATTTATATCTTCTCGATTCTGAGAGTTGAAATGCTTCTGAATTTCTTGTCTTGGACAAATCAGAGTTCTACGTGACTTCTCTACAAATAACAGTCTAATTCATTCATCTGAAAATTATGTTATTAGGAATAATGAAATAATATCTATATAGATAGAGTAGAAAAATGATTAACTCTATTTTTCTTCCTATTTCTTGGGAAGGAAACATTTTTAAATGTGCTAAATTTTCTTTCTATTTTATGGATGAGAAAAAAGTGTCTTTGTGAACCACAACATCAGATCCCTTTAACTCTCCTTTCACAAACTTATATTTTGCTGATTCCTTGAACCCAACCATTAGTTTCCTTGTTGTGTGATGTGTTTATGGCAGGAAACTTTTATATGCATATGGAATAACAGAAAATTTCAGAAAACATTGGTGAGAGGCACACTAGACTCCCTTCTCCATTTTATGTTGGGTCACAGTCCCTCAGGAAAATTTCTTTTAGAATTAAGTGTTAGGAAAAAATTTTTTTTTTCTGAAATGAGATCTTTGTAGCTTTTCTTTCTCATTTCAAATACCGGGAAGCTTAATTTAGCCATGTATGGCCTGCTCTACTGTAATTTTTTTCTTTTTTAATTTTAATTTTTTGAAAGTACATAATAAGTGTATGTATTTATGAGATACATGAGATCTTTTGAGGAAGGGATACTTGTGTAATAATCACATCAGAGTAAATGGAGCATCTATCACCTCAAGCATTTATCCTTTCTTTTGTGTTACAACCCAGTTATACTCTTTAAGTTATTTTAAAATGTACAATAAATTATTGTTAACTATAGTCTACCTATTGTGCTATCAAATACTAGATCCACTCTAATTTTTTAATAAACACAATCTTTAACTTGTCATGGTTTATTACTATTCATCTGCATATTATTGTCTTATATATTTGTATGTATGCATTTTATTTAAGCTCTGTAAAATACTTTCTGAAATGAGATGAAATATAAATAAAATATTCTGAGCCTCACATAAATTCTTGAGTATGAAGAGTTGAATGTAACCAGAACATGTAGTGAGGACAATATGAAGGATATTGATGATATTTCCTTCACAGAGGAATAGTATTCTAATTCACCAGGTATAATATCTCTGAACCTGTTCCAGAGAGGCAAGAAGAAAAATAGATGTACTAGAATGGGAAATTTTATTACATTTATTTATTTTTTTTTTTTCTTTTTTTTTTTTTAGACAGGGTCTCATTGTGTTGCCCAGGTGAGAGTACAGTGGCATGATCATATCTCACTGCAACCTCAAACTCCTGGGAGCAAGTGAATCTCCTGCCTCAGCCTCCCTACTAGTTGGGACTACAGATGCAATCTACTAATGCCCTGCTAATTTTAATTTAATTTGTAGAGATGGGAGTCTTCCTGTGTTGTCCAGGCTGGTCTTGAACTCCTGGCCCCAAATGATCCTCTCACCTTGGTCTCCCAAAGTGCTGGGATTACAAGTGTGGGCCACCACGTTTGGCCCTAAGTTTATTTTTCAAAGTTAAACTTATTTTTTAAAGACATCTCCTCAGGGACATATTGTCTTAGCACTGTTGCAGAAACTCATCTTATTCATTTTTTTTTGTTTCATAATCTAGCTTTGAATTAACTAGAACCTATAGGTTAAAAATATCATTTTAAAACAAAATGGTTTATGCAAAATAGATGGTAGTAACCCTCTTTCAAGTCAGAAGGTCAGCATGTAGGAGACCTTCAGTGGAGTTAG